GGGGAAAGTGCACTGGGAAGAGGACAGCGCTTCACTTTTCCCTGTTGTGAAGTTAAACCAAAGAGCTTTGGGGTCATCAGGTTGCCTGCTCTTACACATGCGTCCAGGCCGTTCCACCCTCGCTGCAGTGTCTCTGAACTAGAGGCGATGGAATTACAAGAGGTCCCTGGTGCCTCCTGCTTTGGGTTGGTAATTCAGTGGGAAATTGCCTCTCTCTTGCATTTCATCCAGACTTTCAAAGAAGGTGAGAAAACTCCTCCTGCTGGTGATGGCAGTTGATTTTTCCCAGGCTCAGAGCCCTGGCTGGGTGGCTCAGTTGGTTAGACTTAGCAGTGATGGCGAACCTTTTGAGCTCGGCGTGTCAGTATTTTGAAAAACCCTAACTTAACTCCGGTGCCGTGTCACATATAGAAATGTTTTGATATTTGCAACCATAGTAAAACAAAGACATATTTTTGATATTTATTTTATATATTTAAATGCCATTTAACAAAGGAAAATCAACCAAAAAAATGAGTTCGCATGTCACCTCTGACACGCGTGTCATAAGTTCGCCATCACTGGGTTAGAGCATCGTCCTGAGACGACCAAGGTTGCAGGTTCTATTCTGGGTCAGGGCACATACAAGAGTCAACCAATGAATGCATAAATATGTGGAACAACAAATTGATGTTTCTCTCTCTCAAGTCATTTTTTTAAAAAGCCCCCTGTCCCCACGTGAGCTGGGCATATGCCCTAAGATTATGGTGGGGCCACAGAAATTTCTCTTTCAGCTTTACAGTTGCGTGAGCTTAGTATGTGAAATCACATTTTCTGTACAGGCTGTTATTGGGCGAGCTAATTTGGGCTAAGGGACATTTCTGCTTCCTTTGAGAGCTCAGATTTGAAACTGGAACCACGGTCGGCTGCCTGACACATCAGAGTCAACTAGTAGAGACGAGGTTAAATCTTTGAGGTGGTTTTATTCAGATGCCGGCGATCCGGCAGGTATAATATCCTGAAAAACCGCTCTCTCAACTCATCTCATCTCATCTCAAGCCAGCCATTATATAGGGCTAGACTCGCGGCATTAGGAAGGTTGAGAACCACTGGGCTAGAGGGTGGGGGAAAAACCTACAACTGTGTGGGTATCCAGGTCTGTTTTCTAACATTGTCCTCCCAAAGATTAGCCCCCAGACGTCGTCCCCCCCCACCCCCTTCAACGTGCCCTGTCCTTGCTTTGCTCTCAAAATGTACCTTCTCGCCCTAACCGGTTTGGCTCAGTGGATAGAGCATTTCCCTGCGGACTGAAGGGTCCCAGGTTCGATTCTGGTCAAGGGCATGTACCTTGGCTGTGGGCACAGCCCCAGTAGGGGGCGTGCAGGAGGCAGCTGATCTATGTTTCTCTTTCATCGATGTTTCTAACTCTCTATCCCTCTCCCTTCCTCTCTGTAAAAAATCAATAAAAAATATATATATATTTTTAAAAAATGTACCTTCTCTCTGAGTGATGGAGCCACCTGGACTTCAAGTTCAATTTATCTTTATGACTCTGTTTTTCTTCTTACAACACATCCTCCACAGTTTCCCAGAATCTGTAAGAAAAATCTCTTACCCATAGTTAGTGCAGTGAATAGCCATTATCAACTATGATTCTGTTCTTATTGCGTACCCCACCCCTATCCTTTCCCCGTTAGTATCAAATCGCAGACCTAGGGGGCTGGTTTCATATGGAAAGTGCTGCTGAAGTGCATTAGTCCCGGCCTGCCTGGCTCCCTCCCTGAAATCACTTAGGGGTGGGGCGGGGG